GGAGGCCCTTACTACTAGTCGCAAGAAGCTATACTAGGTTGGAGGCCCTGGCTATTAGGTTGGAGGCCATCACTAACTAGTAGTAGCAAGAAGCTATACTAGGTTGGAGACCATCGCTATTACTGGTAGCAAGAAGCTACTAGATACAAAGGTGATTTGGGCGTTTGAAAAAGCCCGGATAGGCCGGTCACTTTGCCGATCCAAGGGACTTGATGGGAATCGGGTCCATCCGTTGAACGTGAACGTGGCAGGTTTACCTTGGCCTTGGAGTTCCCAAGGGCGGAACCTTCTTCGATGGGACGATGGTTTGAAATGTAGCAGGGAGACAGCTTGGCATTTCCGAAAAGAATCTCCTGGAGTCTAATCTGATATATTTTCGGAATTGCTTGGATGCTCAGCCCGTTCTGAATTCCTTTCTGTGCAATTAAATGTTGATCCTCACCCTCATGACAAGCTTGACGGAGGGCTGATCACAATGGTTATGTATATATATATATATATACACATTTGATCAAATGTGCCTGATTTGGATCAAGAAGGTCCTTTTCACAGTATGTGGCAAAGGAAGAAAACACACATATGTGTCCACATGGAGAGGTTAAATTTATCTAGCTTCAACTACCAGTGGAAAGCTTTCTGTGTACCATCACATTGTGAGCTAGCTAGCTGTCTTGCGTCATCCTCGACTCTGTGTCGGAAGTCTTCGGGCAAGCAGCCACTGCTTAGCTTTGGATCTTGCACATACAGTATCCCTTGCTTGTAGCAAGAATGCTTTGAACAAGAACCCTCCCAATCCTTGATCATCCTTTATCCTGTCTGGTGTTCTTGTTCTTGTGCCATGATGGCTGACACGCTGTGGTCTTTGTAGCTGTGTGGCTCCAGTTTTCAACAAGAACTGCCAGAGACAGAGGATCGCGAAATGGTAGGTGCAGCGGCAAAGCAAATGCTGGCGCCATGATCATGGTGCTCGGATGAGTCTAGCAGGCAAGAACATATTTGGTGATAGACCTGCTTTGGCAACCTTTTTTGGGGCACAATCCTTCTTTCTGTGGACAACCAGCAGCCAGAGAGCCTTGAAGAAGCCTAAGCCATTTACAGCAATGAGTCAGAACGGCATCATCGTGAAAGCATTGCCGCTGGTTCCTCAGGCCGTCCTTCAATCAGCTTGAAGAGGATGTGGTTGAATCCCTTAGGATAGACACGGACCGCCGTTCCCTAGGCTTCTCCAAAGATAGGCCCAGGTAGGAATGTAATGTGTCAATAGGGATGGGGTCCCAGTATAGTCGCTATACAGGTACATGCCATATACTTTTGGCTCAAGTGCCCAACCAGGTAAAAAGGAGCTTTAGCGCGCGAGCTTCATGTTAACCTAAGAGCTAGAACGGGGCCAGGGCACACCTTTCCATCCGTTCGCAGGTTATCAGCCGTATCCAGACTCCTTTGAGCTGGGTACGAGCTGCGGCCTTACACAACACCATCTAAACGCACACGCATCGGATAGATCAGTTACCCTCAGTCACAGAAGATGGACCAATCCGACGCCAGCACTGCATCTTTCGGAGCAGCTGCTGCGGCCGCAGATCGGATGAGTGCATCCCACAACTCTAGTCCAGGTACGATCGAAGCGGAGACTCTGACAGTGGTGAGAGAAGTTGCGACAGGTAGAGCACGAAGTCGTTCCCCGTCAGCGCACTCGACACCACCGTGGGGAACACCGAGATCAGGCCGTAGCCCTAGGGAGACGAGGAGGAGGACTGACACCGGAGCGGTGAGGACGTTAGCATTGCAGGATGGGTCAGCTGTACCAGTGCCGTCGGACAGCGAAGCTGGAGATCGGGCAAGGGCAAACACTGACAACCTACAACTAGCACGGGCCGATGGAGACCTGAATGCGAAGTGTGCGCAACTACTTGCCGAAGTGCATATGTTGAACCACCAAAACGCATGGATGGTCGAATGTGAGCAGAGACAGAACCAGATTATACAACACGAGACCGAAGTCCACGAAGTAGTGATGGCACACCTCGAAGAATGTTATGTCGAAGGATATGGAAATCAACGAAGAATCACCCAACTTACAGAATCCAGAGACTGTTTACTCTCAGCAGCACACGACCTGCAATACCAGATGGACACTGATCGTGTGGCAATGCGGGATCGTCTCACCCAGTTAGGGGAGTACGCTGATCGCAACAGCGCAGAGATGGTTAGTCAAGTTGTGAACATCGGCACGGAAGAGATCCAGGCTATATCGGCAGAAAGAGATCGAGCCGTAACCGAGGTCATGACTACAATCGCAGATGCTGAGAACGTCAAGGATCTGTGTAGACAGGAGTTAGTTGGACTACAAAGGCAGAGTGCCAGAAACAAACACGA